GAATTCCCCAGCCAGCCATGCTGGCTGGGGAATTCTGGGAGTTGAAGTCCACCCATCTGAAATTTGCCAAGGTTGAGAAACACTGGTCTATGGAATTAAACCCATTTTCTCTGGAACGGAACATTTTGCAGATCTCTCAAAACGATTTGGGAATGCTTAAGAAACTGTCCAGAGGCACAAGCACCGTGCCAGATCAGCAGCTCCTCTGGAATCCAAAGGGATCTGTTTTTTCTTCCCCTTGCAGCTGCAAAGATTAGCTGCAAGGGGCTAGTCCTCAAGATTGCTTGAGTGATGCTTGGGCGTCAGGCTTGTGTTAACTGTTTGTCCAAGACGTGTGCACAACGCGGGAGCCTACTGCAGATTTCGAGATGAAGAGACTCTTGCAAGACTGAACGCTAGAACTGGGAGGGATCTTAAGAGATCAACCAGTCTAGTCCAACAACCAGCTGAGAAGTCCACCCCTATTTTATTTTCTTTTATTTCTATAACCATCCGGCTTCTGTTGAAAGACCTCCAGCAAAGGAGGGTCCATCACCTCCCGAGGCAGCCCGATCAAAGAATCCCAGAATCCTAGGGCGGAAGGCTTGGAAGGGTCCTCAAAGATCATCTAGTCCAGCCCCCTGCCTGATGAAGGGATCCACAGCTTCAGTCAAATGCTCAGCGCCTCCCCCCCCAAAATGGCTCTGGCCTTCCCACTCACTCTGAGGCTCCAGTCTGGTCACGAGAGGCTGGGCACCGCACAGGGCTGCTGCCGTGAGGGTCTTCACGCCTTTCTCCGCCACATCGCAGACGGACTTCAGGTAGGGATGTGTCTCCTTGGTGGTGGCGTAGGCCGAGGAGACCATCTGGCAGGTGGAGCTCACCAGCGGAAGGCTGGCGACCCGACTGATCACGTTCTGCAGGGATGAGTGGCTGGTGAATTTAGTGCAAATCAACCATTGATACCGGCAGCCTTGAGTGGGAGGGGCTGACCAAGGCTCGACGGCTGCCAGTTGCCGATCAGACATCAACACTTACCAACTGGGCTCCAGGGCCACCACCAGTTATCAGATGGCTTGTTGGGTTTTCTAGCCAGTGACGTGAACACAGCGGCTGTGGTTTCCATGTCATCGCCGTAACCCAACCAATGATGGCTTATTCAACAAATCAGGGTTAAAACATCACGGTTTAGGAACGAAGGGGAAATCCAGTCCTAGAATCTTACCTGCTGCTCCAACGCTTTGCCATCAGGCGCCACGTGGTTCTCCTCGCTTTCCTCGGATGACATGGGTGAAACTGACAAGCAGAAGAGGATGTGTCAGAGCGCACTTCCCGTCTCGCAGAGCGTTTAAAATCATAGGATGGCCAGGTACGTGATAGTTGGAGGGGCTCTACTGTATTTTATTTATTTATTTCTAAAATTTTATTATTAGTGGAATTCACAAAGATAAAAGACAGTTCAATAATCTGATGATGAAGAAATAATAATAACAGTAATCCATACAAAAAGTTCCAGTAAAAATATTAATATCCAGCAACCTCAATCCTTTAACATGATCTTTTCACTTCTAGAATATAAGGTCATTTCAACAATTGACAGAAGACTCTTGAATTCACTCCTTAACACAATGTTTTTCACCCTTGGCAACTTTAAGATGTGTGGACTTCAACT